GTTTTTAAAGATTTTAAATATATTTTTTATTTATTTAATTTTTTATTAATTTAATTTAATTTTTAATTTTTAATGTTGTCCATAAACTTTTGTCCACCCACTGTATAAGAAATTAATTGTTTAAAAATTATTATATCCTTATTTTAATAATATTTCAAATAAAATTAATTATTTTATACCTATACTTAGATCTTTACATGTTTTATTAAATACTTGTAAAACATGTATATTTAAATTTTATTCTTTTTTTAACAAATTATATAAAAATGTTTTTAATAAAAAATATAATTTGATTGAAAATAAAAACCATGGCAAATAAATTTATTGCTTTATATTATTAATGCTTAATAAATTAAAATTAAAACTAAAATTTTTAAAATCTTTAAAAAATTTTAAAAATAAAGGTTTTTGAATAATATTATATCTTCAACATTAAATATTTATATAAATTTATTTTGATATAATTATTTTGAATATTATTATAAAATAATATTTGATTATGAATATTTATAAAAAGATGTAATTAAAAAAATTATAATAAAATAATATTAATTTTTTTATCAAATATTTTTAAATAAAATAAATAACAATATTTAATAATGGAAATATTTTTTAAACATCTTAATTTAGTTGATAAATATCTTATAAAAAATTTTCATAGTCTTATTTATAAATATATTACTTCAAAATTAACAAATTTAAAAACATTTCGACAATATGATATTTTATAGATAATGAAAAACATAAAAATATATTTATTACAAATTTTATAAAAACAAAAAAATATCTACTTTTTAAATCTCAATTATATTTTTTAACTACAGTATTTCAACTAGTATATTTCTTTTGGATTTTTTTAAAAATTTTTATTAAAAACAAAATGAATTTAAATTGAAGGAAATAAAAATAAAATTAAAGTTTATATTTCTTCAATTGAAAAAAATTTTACAAAAGAAATTTTTCCATCAGTATATGATACTATCAAATTCCAAATAAAGAAAAACTTTGTAATTTGGAATCTTGTAATAATATAAATTTGGATATAAAAGTTTTAATATGTGGATATGCATATTATTCTACATGTTTTAATAATTTATTAGATTCAAATTGTAATTATTGTTTTCAATATTACAAATTATCAATTAAAGAATTATTAAATTCTTTTGATTTACATTTAAGTTCAGAAGAAAATAATTATAAAAATATTGATATAAATATTATAGTATTATTGATAATGATGAAATAATTAATAATGAAATATTTGATAATATTAATTTATGAAAATATTCTTAATAATGAATTTACATTAGCACTTTATAATTTTTTTATCAACAAATGAAAATTCAATCTTATTTGAATTTAGAAAACTTTTTATTGACCTTTTAGAAAACATAAATCAAATAATGAAGAATCTTCTTATTCTTCTAATAAAAGAAAAAGAAATGCTTATCTTACTAATCTAATTAAAAAGAAATAATTTATTTTAAACTTTATTATTTATAAAATTTTTTATATAATATACATTAAAATCATCAAATATTTTTTTTAAAATAAAAATAATAATTAAATTTTTTTTATTATATTTATTTTTTACTAATAAACTTTTTAAAAATTTATTAATAATTAAAATTTATTTATTTATAAAGACTGAAAACTTTGTGCAAATTTGTGCAAATTCGTAAATTTCGCACAAATTCATAAATTTCACACAATTCGTAAATTTCGCGCAAATTCGTAAATTTTACTACGTGACGATCACGATTCCCATCACGTGAAAAAATAAATTTCAGAAATTTCACTCAAATGCGCCATGGGTCCAAAAATATATAGTGCAGATCTTATTTCTATGTATATCCGAGAGGGCAAAAATTATATGTCGTATATGTCGAGCCTGCACCTCTAAAAATCAGCTAATGATAAAAATAAGCGATGATAGGTACAGCAATATGTGTTAAATTAACATGACTAGAACAGTCAATAAAGAAATGTGGTACATGCTAAATTAGTAAACAGCTAAATTAGTAAACAGTAATAAGGTAATGCATGAATGGCCTACGAGCAAGAATGTATATAAGGTGTTAAAAAAAGCGAATTCGGGAAGTTCGCTTATCCGTAAACATAATTTATAATAACAATGAATTACCAAACCTTTAATCTATTCCTGATCGTTTTTCTTTCAAGTTTATTTGCAATGACTATTATTGCAGATGCTAATGATGATCGGAAAACTTGCACAATTACGAAAATTAGCATAGCAACCGCGACTATTACTATTTCCTGTGGAACTGTATCTCCCACTTTGAGTAAATGTCAGAGTCGACTTGACAAGAACTGCGATCATTGTAAAAAAACAAAAATTATCACTTGTACGCCTACAACTACTATATGCACTACACCCATTCCAACATGACATGTTGTCAAACTACTGGTGCTCCAGGATGGAATAACAAATTTCATTTAGGAAATTTCGGCAATGATTTTCCTAAAAATTTCAGTACTCCCCAAGATTGTTGTAAGCTTTTTATACAGCAGGTTCAGGTTGTTTTCATGACTTCGATAAAGTTGGTCTCCCTGCTCTTTGTAGTAACCCTCCAGCACCAACAGGCCAGTTCGATTCTGGAATTATTCGTTGTAGTGATGGTACCACTTGTAGTTAATCATAAATTTATATAGAATCATCGGTATTTTAATAAATTTATCAATATTTTATTGGTCTTTTAATCAAGTTTATATAGAATTATCAATATTGTATAGTAGGTGAATACATTCTCTTAACCAAAATACAATAATAAATGCCTAATAACTTTACAATTAGATTAGTTATATATTTTACTGTTTCCTATAAATTACATTATTTTGTTTGCTATTCGCGAAGTGTACTGACAAATTTTATCATGTATCCATCCCAATGTTTTAAATTTGTTGGCTGAATACCAAATAAATCCCTTGTACTTGCTGATATACTAGTATCAGGAGGATATTCGACAGATGGCGGAATAATCGACAACGACTCTTCGAGACTGAGAACTAGAAATGAAGACGTGTTGAGTGAACATTACGAGGGTGAATGACAAAAAATTACATACCGTACCAGACACTTACGTGGCAACTTTACGACGAAATGGATATGTTCCTCAGCTGGTGAGTCAGGGAAATATTTTGAAATCTTTTTTGTTGCAAGGAGTTCAGGTTCGTCATTGAGTGTGGGATTGCTTAAGAGATCGTCCCGATCGTCAGGAATTTCCACCTTCCATAGCTTAGATCTTTGGCGTCGACATTAGCAAAAGTCTTTGTGTTTTTCGCCTTGATTGCGTCCTTGAGGTGGCCTACAAGCTGGTTACTATCAATATCGACGACGAAAGCGTTAACGGAAGTATTTCCTTTAACGAGGCATACGAGAGTGATAGACATAGCGACTTACTGTATATGGTATTTTTCGCGAAATGCTATTGGCTCAACTGCTATATTGTCAGTGGTATATGTGTATATGCAAGCTAGGTAACACGGATTACACAATCAAGATTCAAACCGTAGTTTATAGAATAACTATCAGCAAAGCCAGAAAAATTACTCAGCCAACGAAACAAAAGATAACGAAGAAAATTACTCAGCATGCATAGACATAATTAAACAAGGTCAAAGCGTAATTCTTTATTATTTTTGTAAAATGAATATTGAGAGTAAGGGCCAGCTAATTAAACAATTCAAGAACGATTCAAACTGAATCTGAGAGAACAATAACTGATATTAATTCATCGGCAGATAATATTAGTTTATTAAGATTATTAGATAAAAAATGAGTATGAAGAGCATAGAGCCTCTACTCATATTCACATAATGTAACTGCCGTTCGGGCAATTTTTAAAATAAAGAGATTCTGCTATATACAGTATGCGGATTTGCACATGACATCGCTCCATTATAACGACATAGTGAAATAAATTAAATATATTTTTATTACGTATTATAGTAACGGAAAAATGTCTTACGAATTATGTGATTATTTCTTAATCTTACCAGCTCCACTATTTTTGGAAACATCGTCATTTAATCTTCTGGGAGGTATATTGTGAAATTGTGTCTTGAGTCGGAGACTCGTGGCTTTGCCACTGACACTAACTTCGCTATTCCGCGATGGCTCTTTTGGTGTTTAATATCTTGGGCACCTGAGAGAATTTTATTGATTATATTCATAACCTCCTCTTGGGCTAGACCAGGTTTAGATTCCGTCGATTTAGATAAGTTATTTTTGGTGGGGCTGGCGTTATGACTCGAAGAGTCGCCTGTGGGCCTGTTATTTTCTTCGATTAATGGAATACTCATATCATCTATTACAATTCTAGCATGACGAGTATAAGTTTTGGAGGGATATTCAAAGCTTATTTTTGCTTTGCGCATCCATAACCAATCCAGTCCTAATACC